CGTTCCTGATTTTAGTGCGACAGCATCGCACATCTATTTTATAATGATAAAATTATCTTACATGTAAAAATATACACAGATCATTGCCGAAATCAATAACTTAATCGAATCGGCCGAAAAATCATTCGGCAAATTTTTACAAGTGTCCCAGAATTTATGAAAACAACTGTAAAAAAAAAATTAAAATCCGGGCCGGCGGGTCACGAGAGGCTAGTGTTACGACAAGGGAGAGACTTTACTGTTGTACTGCCAATTCAGTTGCTGGTCGTAAGCATTAAATATTTATTGTCACGGCTGATGCTGAATCTGGGGGTCTTAATTTGGATCCATTACACCTACTAAAACCCACATATACTCTTTTATTCAATTCTAACCCTAAATTCTAGTCTAACTATTACAAAAAAGCTAACAAAATACACCCCAAAAAATTGTAAAATTTTATATCAAAGTAGGCCAATATTCAGCATCAGCCAAATTCAGCATCAGCCGTGACATTTATTAATAGCAAACAAGTAACAATGAGGGTTTCAAAATTAACGTGCGGAAATCTAATTTTGACAGAAATAGATAACGTATTTATTTTCAAATGAGCGATGTATCGACTTTATTTCATTTTCCGATAAATTTGTATTAATGATTTTTATCGTTGAAAAGTTTATTTATTTCGTTAAATGGGAGTCTCTAAACACTCCCATTTCATTTTCCGATTTCAAAATTTTTGACATACAAATAAGGTTTCTTAAGCTCCTACTTATTTTCGAAATACGCTAGTTTTTTTTAATTCTGAAACCCCTCAATAAAGCAAAAGGTATTTATTTATTTCGATTGAGCAAAAAGAAATCTGCCCCTATTTTCAATGAATAAACCTATTTAGAGTTATTTCATTAGACTCAAATAAGCTAAGAAAATCATTACGCAAGAATAAGGTAATTATTTTAACAATGGCGAAAGTGTAATAATGGATACTAAAGTATATACGAAGTTTAATAAAGTAACACTGAAAAATCATTTCGGATGCATATAAAATGTGCAAAAGTCTAATAAAGTAATATGATAATCATTGTAATAACGCTGGTACCAAAGCTAGTTACGACATTTTGTCGTAATACCAGTTGATGATATGAAAACCGAAAATATAAGTTTTTATGGCCTTATGAAAAAAATAAAACTTTAAAGAATCATATTGCAAATTTTATTATGATAACAACATTTGTTTCTTAAGCGAAAAATGTTTCTAGACTAATTTTAATTAGTTAAGCTCAAAAATTTTTTTAAAATTGCCAATTTCGACCCTTTTCTCAGCATATTATAATATCCCCGTTATATGGAGAAGGCCTCTAGTTGTAAAGAGTAATACAGTATATTGTCAAAAAGCTTACGTGGAGTACTTTGAACTGTGTTAACGATATTGTTACAAACACGTACAGTTTTGGCTTAAATACCATTATTCATCGTTCTCTTAATATCTACTAGAACTGAAATTTGCGTGAAACCGCACAAAAAATAAAGATATATTGGTACAAATAAATTCGAAAATAGTATCCGTTTCTAATTTTAACTCGACATGATATTATGAATTTCAAAAATGAAGATTTTATTTTATAATTTAGCAATCGCGGCCATAACCATCTTTCTTCCTTTGGCCGTTTTGCCAATGGGATTTGCGCAAATCATAAAGTATTCAACTTTCACCTACCCAGAAACAGAAATATTTAATCAAACTAATCCTTCACGTCTTAACTATTAAACACTATCAAGATAAATAATCTATGTTTGAAACAGAGGCTACTGCTTCGTGTTCTTCAAGGAGACGGAAGAGTTACTGAAATAAATTTTGATAATACTGAGGAAATACAAGATATCAATTACTGCTATGTTAACGGTAAAAACCCAATAAGCATTTACCTATTATTTGATCAATACATTTTGATATCATACGTTCATGCAAATGATACCTCCGACAGCACAACATATATGGATCGAGGAATGGTTATATATTGGAACGGGAAAATTATGAGGTTTGTTAAAGACATTGTTAAGCAGGGATAGTAAGTGACCTGGTCATTGGATCAAATTTAAATGGCCTCAAGTTATCAAAACAATGGCCTAGTCATTTGGTCATTAAGGTCACTTAGGTCATTTGCATATAAAATGAATTATTGGTCAAATTGCTAAAAAGTTATCGAACTCTTACTTTTCTAATTTTTCTAATTAATGATTGTAGTTATATATTAAAGTCAAATAACCGCATATATTATGAAAAGTTGGTGTAAATTGAATAATAAAAAGTTATTCGATATATATGAAAATTTCAGTATATATGCAATTCATCATCCTAAACAACTTTACTTAGCACAAATGTTAATAGACTTAGGGTGCTCTCAATCATCTTTCTCAGTGTAATTAGCTATCTATAGAGATCGTGCACAAGTACTACGATTAATTGAAGTAAACTTTATGGCAATTTTGTCGAAAATTCACGTTGCGAAACGTGGATATTAAATTATAGCCAATCAGCACAATTCTATGATAAAAAAAGATGGTCTCTGACCATCTTCTTTTTCATCGCAATAATGAACTCGCTTGACCGAATAATTTATTTTCCACTAATTAAAAATTGAACTCAGACCTATTGATTTAGATGCTTGAGAGCACCCTTAGTAAATTTTTTAACTTTGATATCTAGCTATGATTATCGATTATATTTTTATAAGGAAAATTTATTAGTTTACACAGTGTTTATACACGAGTACTAGTTTATTGATTTACAAATTTGCTTAATATATAAATTATAAGACAAAATTAACCCAGTTTAAGGTTAGAATAAGGTTAGTTCTAGGATTAGAAATGGGTTGAGTTTAATTCTGCGAGTATTTTTGTTAGAACTCAAAGTTGTTTTATAATCTGGATTTTGATATATCAAAACATACCCGTGTATATACACAGTGCACAAATAGAAATTACATTAATTTTATTTAAAAAGTATTAAAATATTAATTGACATATGCTAAATGCTCCAAGTCATCTTGCCTTGAATGATTTTGGTCATTTGGGTCACCATCCCTGTTGTTATGTATTTAAATGTTTGAATTGTAATAATTCATTATGTACTATTGCACGGCAGTATAATCAATTTTGGACCATCCTACTTGTTTCCAAACAGCACAACTTGGAGTCCAATTGAATTTTTTGTAAATAAAATGTTCCCCGAAGAGGATTTATGCGTTTATCTGGGGTGCGTGGAACGAATAATTTTAAATGGAGCCAATATGAATAGTACGTTACATGCTTGTGTTTATTAAATTACATACACGCGTATTCGATTCAATTGTTTTTCTTTCTTTTAATTTAAATGATGGAAGTTTCAGCTTATTACAAACTGATACGTTCATTACAGATCTTAACAATTTTCAAATTACCGCGCTTCAAACTTTAGATAGTGGTTATGCGATTGTATACTCTGATGCGAGTGTACGATTATACGCTATGAAATTGAAATATAATGAAAAAGCACTGCAAATTTATTTTATATTAATTAACGCAACTAAATATGACTTTCGCCAACTTATTTTGCTCTGTCGATTACGTATACATTGGTTATTCGTGCATCGCTTCTGTAGTAAATACTCAAGATTCAACTAATACAACTATATCCACAACCACATTGACTCCTGTTACAACCTTACCAGCTCAACCTACTACTAGTACAAGGATAACATGCGTTTTCTCTCTAGCGGATCTGTGTTGGCAGCGGATAATGTGGCACCTAACGGAAATTCAGCGAATGTTAGAACACTGCCTCTTGGAGGGTACGCTTTAATATTGCAGCAATCGTCCGGATCTACCGTATTCAATTTTAGTCTTTATAATGAAAACAATCAACTATCTGATTATAAATTTCCTCTGAATCCTATTATCTCAAACTTAATTGGCGCGTTTGATATATTGCAAAATAATACGATGCTGGTGGCACAAAATGAAACATCTACCGCTTGGAATCTTATTTCAATCCAATTACCGTTACTTTCCTCATATCATGGTAAATATTTTAGATTAAATACTGAATATGTTTTTGATTTAAATAATAATTATGCTGTATCTTCTACGTAGATAGTGGGTACAGTAACTTCCATGTGAACGCAGCATTCCCTCAAAAAGGCAGTAATAATCTAACAAATAATTACAACGAGATTAACATCACATTTCAAGACCCAGTTTCGTTTGCGAATGGCAAACTATATATTTATCAAGCATCTAGTCAAAGCGACATTCTTCGACAAATTATTAATTCAAAAAATTGTACTCAATGTACTACACGAGACAATGTCGTCACACTTAATGTATATGATTCCACTTTTAACGTGCCTGGTGGTCAATATTATATACAAATTGATAATAACTTTGTCAAGAATTCAATATATGATGAAGCCATTTTGGGAATTAATTCGCATGTGTGGACTTTTCATACAGGTTTCTCATAATTACAAGAATTTAGTGATTTGAATTTGTTTATTGACAGCAAAACTTATTGATTAATATCGATTAAAATAAATAGCTGACATCAATGTTAGTAAACAATCAGGTAATGTAATCTACGTATTCGCAAGGTTAATCTCTATATACATAATACATATCAACTCTAAACTTATTATTTAGGTGATATCTGGGGATCGCTACAATTAACAACGAATGGAACTCAATATTTTTACAAATTGAGTGATTCAGAAAGATCTGTCTTTTTTACCGAATTAATAAATGAACTCAGTTATAATTCCCACGGGGAATGGTAGATTGAGCACAAATAAGCGTTATCAGCTTGACGCTGCCACTCAATCACATTTTCTTATTTCACTTTTATTATTCAAGCAAAAGGCGGCGAAAAGCTGTCTTGTACACAATTAGCGAACAATTTAAACCAATTAATAACGAATGGAGCATCTACAAGTATATCAACGGGACTTAGGACAAAGTATTTATATCCTAATTATGGATTTCAACAACAAGCTAGTAAGAACCACTTTTGTACTTTTACCGTAAAACCGCGAAATAACGAGCATGGGCGTTATTTCGAAAATCGGAACTTTTAAAAATGACATTTATGATTTCGAAATAGCGCCCATGGGCGTCCCGAAATAACGCGCATCTCATACGAGTATTGTATATGAGTGCCGTCAAAGGAAAACTTACAATCTGGCTTTTAATTAT